GTACACATTTTTTAATAAATAAATTCGGGCTTTTTGGATCCCCCTCACACATTTGGGCAAGTTTCTCCTTTTGTCCTTTCAGTTTGTTCCACTTTTTAATTTCTGTAAGCTGTTCTTCCTCATCCCTTCTCGGCCTATCTCCCTCCTTCCTGCTCCCTTCATCTTTGGCCTCTCCACCTGTCTGGAAGCGGTGTGCTCTGTGCTTGTCTTCTGGTTGTTGCTCTAGCTATTTGAACAGGTGTACTTCCCAGAGTCTGAAAAAATTATCAATATCTATCCTTTTTCCTGACAATTCCGGGATCTTAAAATACTTTAATGCTGATTACCCACTTGCAAATATCTGTTGCTGTGGTCTAGGGTTTAAAACCTTGGTGTGAGATGATCCTGGGAAAATCTCCCCCAAGATTTCATTACCACATGAGTCTGTGGTCTCAATTTATGCTAACTATGGAGTCTCTCCAAAAAAATCTTAAACAAAATTAAATTTAGAGTGGTCTCAGGTTGTTGGCTCCCCTCAGGCAACTCACAGAAGTCAATGCAAGTCTTTTTTATTTTTCAAGTTGGAGTCTCACTCCGTCACCCAGGTTGGAGTGCAGTGGCACGCTCATGGCCACTCCAGTATTGACCTGCTGGGCTCCGGCAATCCTTCTGCTTCAGTTTTCCAAGTAGCCAGAACTACAGGCACACGCTACCACACCTGGCTAATTTTTTAAATTTATTGTAGAGACAAGATCTTACCATGTTGCCCAGGTTGGTCTTGAATCTGCGGACCCAGGCAATCCTCTCACCTCAGCCTCCCAAAGTACTGGGATTACAGGCTTGAGTCACCGCACCTGGCCAATGCGAATCTCTATGGAGGAAGTTAGCTTCAACCCAGGTCTCAGAAGATTCCCACAGATTAATGTTCAAAGAAAGTTGTTGGCTCACAGGTAAATGGGAAAAGAAAATGCACAATGAGTGAGAACCAGCAGATACAAGAGAGCAGAGATGAACTTGCACAGTCTTCAGGTGTTGTAATTATCTGACACAGACTGTAAAGTAACTATGTTGTATACGTTTAAAGAAACAATCGAGAAGTTCTAAAATAGATAAAACAGAATTGAATATAAAATGCACCATCATTTTATGTACCATCGGAAACACTGCCAATTATCATTGTAAGATGCCACCAATGGTAAGGTGCATCCTGATTTCAGAAGCATTTCTGAACCGATGAACTACAGCAAATGAAATGTAAAACTTAGCAGATCGACTGCATTGCAGATTAAACTCTGCTGATGAGAGAACCAGTTAACTGGAATAAAGAAACAAATATTTCATACAAAGAAATCATCCAGAATGTCGCCCAGAGAGATGATGAAATGGAACTGTAACAGGAAGGTTAGGAGTCTTGGACCATGGAATCAGAAGGCCTCACAGTTGTCCAGTCAAAAGCTCCAGGTGAAAATAACTTCCAGGTGAAGGTGGAAAAAAGGCAACAGTTAAAAAAACGATGGCTGAGAAACTTGAAAATGGTAGAAAGAGCAATACCCAGACACAGGAATTCAAATTAATCTCAAGCGGGACAAAGCCAAAGAAATCTCTCCCTGACCTACATGGCGTCTCTGAAGAACCCATGATGATAAAACCGCAAAACGTGGAAGCAAAGAGGCCTTCAAGCAACCTGGGATGAAAACAGCTCCCCTACCCGTGCACAATCACTAGATGAGCTGCAAAAACGGAAGCCAAGGGCTGTGGCAGAATATGATCAATGTGCTGAGATCCACACAGAATTCATACCCAATAAAACCCTTTCAAGAACACAAGCGAGACAAGAATTTTCAAATAAATAGAAACAGAGACCTTCACCAAAGGAGGGTTTCATAAGTGGTTTGAGACAGAAGGAAAATGATCCCAGATGCAAGGTGAACTGTCCTCAGGGAAAGACCAAGAACTCTCACGGTGGCTCACGCCTGTGATCCCAGCACTGTGGGAGGCCAAGGCTGGAGGACTTTCCCAGCACATAGAAGGGCTTCGGCAGACGCTGACTGACTACGTGATTGGACAAGTAATTAACTATGACCGAGAAGCCAGCGTGAGGTGTTAGGTCAAGTACAGTTTGTCTGCTTCAAATGCCACCGGGAGTTGAACCCAGGAATTAGTGACCAACTTGGGTAACACAGTGAGAGCCTGTCTCTACAAAAAAAGCTAGGCATGTGGTATGCACCTGTAGTCCCAGCTACTCGGGAGACTGAGGCAGGAGGATCGCCTGAGCCCTGGAGGTTGAGGCTGCGGTGAGTCATGATCGCGCCACTGCACTCCAGTGCGGGCTGGATACAAGTGATGCCCTGTCTCTTAAAAAAAAAAAAAAATTCTGCATCTGAGTTCTTTTCTTTGGACAGGATTGTTTAGGTATCTAACTCATCCACCTTGCAGGAAATAAAAGTCCTCCAACAAAATGTCTTTAGGGACTCCTCCTTCAGTCTCCATGACGGTCCTCATGGTCTAGCGTGTCTTCCCCTCACAGCACAGATGCCGGCTGTATTTTTACATTTCTCTGGAGCCTCATGTGTTACTCATGTTGGTCACTCGTGGAGCCTCACGTTGCTAAGTTGGGCCACGAGGTCACTGTTGTCTGTATGCACATTAAATTGTCTACTTACCTCATCAGAGATGGAAGGGCCAGGTATGTGCTGCTCCCCAATTTACTTCCAGACCTTAGCAGGTGCCTGACACATAGTAGGTATTTGGTAGATGCTGACTGAGTACAAGATTGGACAAGTTATTAATTATGAGTGAGAAGCCAGTGTGAGGTGTTCGGTCAAGCACAGCTTGCGTCTCTGCTTCATATGCCACCACTGCAGGTGGGTGAATCACCACAGAACTCTGCTGTCCAATGTGGTAGCCATGTGGCTATTTCTATTTGACTTTAATTAATTAAAATTAAATAAAATCCAACTGGGCGAGGTGACTCACACCTGTCATTCCCAGCACTGTGGGAGGCCAAGGTGGGAGGATCACTTGAGCCCAGGGGTTCCACACCAGCCTGGACAACATGGCAAGACCCTGTCTCTACCAAAAAATCAAAATATTAGCCGGGCGAGGAGGCACATGTCTGTAGTCCCAGCTACTAGGGAGGCTGAGGTGGAAGGACTGCCTGAACCCAGGAGGTTGAGCCAGCAGTGAGCCGTGATCATCATGATCCTGCCACTGCACTCCAGCCTGGGTGACAGAGCGAGACCTCGACTCAAAAAAAAAAAAATTAAATTAAGTCCCAAACTCAATTTCTCAGCCTCCGTTGGAGTGGCCCGTGGCTAGCCTCTTGGACAGTGAGGGCTCAGAACACTCCCATTATCCAGAAAGTTCTACTGGAAGAGCTGTCCGAGAATTCTCCCGTGCTCCTGGCAGCTCCCTCTCTCTTTCTTCTCGCTCTCTCTCCCCCCACCCTTAAACCAAGTACAGGGACAGTTGTCTCCTTGGTAGCCATGTGAAATGAGGCCTCTGGACAAGAAGACTCTGGGTACCTTGGTGACCAGCCCCGTCCCCACTTCTTTCCTTTAAACTCCTGAGTTGTTTCCTGGTCCCCCTTTCGCCCCCTTGCTCCTGAAGCTGGTGCCCCCTGGGTGGAAAGCACAGTGGCTGTCTTCTCCAGGTCACTAGATGCTCTGCTCACGTCGCCGAGCGTTCCCCAGGCCAGGGCTCTGAAAGAGCGAGGCCTGTCTGGACACCCGAGCCAGGAAAGAGCGGGGACATGCAGGCAGGTGCGCGCAGGCGGCCTGTCGTTCGTGAGCTCTCTCTGCACACGGGGCCAGCTAACCGGCCGCTCCGGTTGAGTGTGGGTAGGCAGGGGGCTTCTGGGAGCCGTGGGGATGGGCACGTGGCCTTTGGTGAGTGTCCTCCACTGAGCTGCATTGTGGGATTCAGCCTCCGCCCTCCCCGCCTCCCGCAGGTCCTCAGTGGGATCGGTCTTCCCCATTGGCTGTTGTACCTCCCTCTCTGTCCAGCATGAGGGCTTGTGCGCTGGGCTCTGCTTCCGCCCCCTCCCCAAACCCTAAAGGGGCTTTGGCAGGATGGAGCGGACCCTGCCGGGGACCCTCCTGTCTGGCAGGAAACACACTGTCTGTCCCGGCGTCATGGCGACCACCTGCCCTAGAGCACAGGGACTCTTGACGAAATCCCTCCTCAGCCGCATAGACTCACATCTTCTGCCCCCCCTCCCCCCCAACTGCCACTGGGGTTCTGACCTAAAAGGCAGCTGCGACTACGAGTCAGTGCCTTGGAAACACCACAGTTCACCCAAGTGGCCCATCTCATCCCTCAACAAGGCTCCGTGAGGTAGGGAGGGGGTATGGCGAATCCCATGTGACTGATGAGTCAACTGAGACCTAGAGAGATTAGGTCAGTTGCCCCAGATCTTTTTGTTTGTTTGTTTCTTTTCTTTTCGCTCCTTCCTTTTCTTTCCTTTCCTTTCCCTTCCTTCCTTCCTTTTCTCCCTCCCTCCTTCCCTTCCTTCCTGAGACAGGGTCTCACTGTGTGACCCAGGCTGGTCTCCAACGCCCCAGATCTTTCAGACAGGAATTGAGCGCCAGTCCCTGTCTCTAAGCCCAGTGGCCTCCCGTGACAACCACACCCTTATGTGTAAGGGCACGGCCTAGGGACAGTGTGAGTGGGCTGGGGAGGGGGACGTGAAAGATTTCGCAGCGGGGAAGGACAATGGCAGCCCCTTCTCTCTGGCTCCGGAGAGGGAAGATTTGACACTCACAGGAGGCTGGCCCCCCTGGCCTGGCAAACTTCCAGAAAGGAAGAAAAGCTCTGGGTCTGGTCTCCCTTCTTCCTCTGCCTTCTCCCCTTCCCAGGCTAGGGTTTGTCTGGAGGAGGAGCAGCCACTCCCTGAGTCTCACCGAGAGCCCGACACCCATGCTTAGGCTGGGCTGTGGATCCCCTAGGTACCGCATCCACTGGAGGCCTGGGCCATGCCTGTGCGTGAGGAAAGCCCTTGAAGCCCACCCGGAGGAGGAGGCATGCAGAGGACCTACACAGGAGAGACGTGCGCTGGACCATTCCCCATGGACCGGAGGGCACTCCTGGTCTTCAGCTTTGCCCTGGCAGCAGCTTTGGGTCAAGTGAACTTCACAGGGTGAGTACTGTCCATGGGAGGGGGCAGGTGGGAGCCAGGGGACCCGGTGTCCGGCAGGAGGCGGCTGTCCTGATCAAGGTGGGCAGTCAGGGCCTGGGTTCTGTCCTGAACCTGCCTCTGGCTCCATAACCCCCATGGTCACGGTCAAGGTGGCTGTGGCTTTCTGCTGCTCCTCCCCAAGCGCGGACTTCCTATCTGGAGTCCAGGGGTGAGCTCGCAGGCGAGAACCCCCAAGACCCCCGGGACTCATACACAGCATGCGGTTCTTTGGGGGTGAAGGGGTCACGCCTTCCTCAGATTCTCATGGGAGCTGGACCTCCAAAGACCAAGGGCCTTCACCCAGCATGGATCGGGTAGACCTCCTTGGGGTTGGTCACACACCAGGCCCTCTGGGGACATGATCCGTGAGTGCCCAGAGGCCGCGGGAGGCGGATGCTCTATGGACTCTCCACGGCAGAGAAGAGGGACTCGGCGTCGAGCGGTCACAGTGTATGACCTCAGGTCGGCCAGTGAGGTGCCAGGATGGGGCCAGGCCCTAGAGCGCTCGGAGGCTGCTGGGCAAGGTCGGTCACACCCGCCATCGGGAAGATCAGGTCTGCTTCCCTGTGTCGGGGGTGAGGTTACCTGAGTTCACCTTTCAGGCACCATGACAGACCACAGCCTTGGGACCCATGTGAAAAGCCCTTGGGCCACCCTGGTCCCCCAAGATCCCGGATCTGTTTCTTTCCTCCTTCATTCTACACACCTACACACCCACATGCATTCATACACACATGCACATGCAACCCACTCCTACATTCGTTTCCCTTCTTTTTTATTTTATTTTATTTTACTTTTTTTGAGTTGGACATGCACTACCACACCTGGCTAATTTTTGATTAATTGTAGAGATGAGGTCTCGCCAAGTTTCCGGGGCTGGCCTCGAACCCGTGGGCTCAGGCAATCCACTCGGCTCGGTCTCCCAAAGTGCTGGGATTACAGGCTGATCCACCAAACATGGCCTATTTTTTTTTTTTGAGTCAGGGTCTTACTCTGTCTCCTGGGCTGGAGTGCAGTGGTACAATCATGGCCACCAGCCTCAACCTTCAGGGCTGAAGATCCTTCCACCTCAGCCTTCCAAGTAGCTGGAACTACAGGTGCACACCACCATGCCTGGCTAATTTATTTATTTATTGTAGAGACGAGGGCTCGTCAAGTTGTCCAGGCTGGTCTCGAACTCCTGGGCTCAGGCAATCTTCTTGCCTTGGCCTCCCGAAGTGCTGGGAGGACAGGCCATGCCCCGCCTCCCTTTCTTCCTTCCCAGCCTTGGCTTCCATCTGTTAGTAGCAGCAACAGGCCTTGTTTAGTCCCCCGGGGGAGAGGTCTGTCCTTGCAGCTTCTTCTGCCCCACCCTGTGTTTTTCCAGAGACCAGGTTCTTCGAATCCTGGCCAAAGATGAGACGCAGCTGTCACTTCTCAGGGACCTGGAGGGCCTGAAGGTGAGGATCCCTCAGGGTGGGGCCACCTCCCAGGGGCTCACACCTTCAGTTCTGTGTCCTGCTCCCTGCACCCCAAGCCTCCCTCCTGATGCTCCTCCCAAAGGGCACAGAACTGCGGGAAAACCCAGTGTGGCTCCTCCTTTTTCAATTTTAGAGTTGTGGGGCACAAGTGGGGATTTGCTACATAAGCAGGCTGTGTGCAGGTGAAGTCGAGGCTTCTAGCGGGCCCTCTCTCGTCCAATAGTGGACGGGTCCCCATCCTCTGCTCTCCTGCAGAAGTGTCCGGCATCTCCCATCCCACCCTGTGCTCGTGTGACCAGGAATCAGGGCCTGCTTATGAGTGAGAACGTGCAGCTGTCAGCTCTTCGTTTCGTGCTCGTTTACTGAGTATGACGGTCTCCGGCTGCATCTAGGTCGCTGCAAAGGCCGTAGTTTTGTTCGTCTTTATGGCTGCATAATATTCCATCGTGTAGGTGTACCAAACGTGGCTCTTCCTCAGAAAAAATCTGTGGACACTGGCCCAGAAGGCGTGGCTCCTTTACCCACCCCTCTGTTCCACTCTGCAGATGGTGGAGCTTTCCCAAAGCTGCAGGAGGTCCCAGAGGTCTCTGGGTGGGAAGCCACGTTGCGGAGAGATGGGACACATCTGATTCCCAAGTGCAATGGCTTAGCTGGGTGCACCCGCATATAATTTAAGCTTGTCCCTGCCAGTCTGAGCCTTTGATTCCCAGAACATTTGTCCTCTGCAAGTTTCACAGTGGGAACATTTTCTTTGACTGTCGTCATAAGAAGGCTTCGTCTGAGAGCTGTTGAAACAACCAGACATTTCTGGATGTGACCCCGAGTCCTTGCTCCTACTTGTCTGAGTGTCCCTGTCTGTGAGGATCAGAATGCTTTATGACAATTCTTTTCTTTCTTTCTTTCTTTTTCTTTAATTTATAGAGATGGGATCTCATTATGTTGCCCAGGCTATCTTGAACTCCAGGGCTCAAGAGATCCTCCCACCTCGGCCTTCCAAAGTGCTAGGATTACAGACATGAGCCACCACGCCTGACTGCTTTATGACAATTCTATTTTACAATTTGAAAAATAGATGTAGAAAAAAGCTGCTGTGGGTATCCCCTGCCTTTCCAGGGATTGGGAGCAATGATGTCTCCTTCTTCTGACCAGGGCTCTTGTCTGTGCCAATGTCCCAGCTGGTGAGCGTAGGACTTTTAGGACTCGTAAGGGCTTTCTGGGTCCAGGAGAAGCTGCCATGTGTGAGTGAGGTGGGAGGACACAGGGCTTGTTAGGGAAGAAGCTCCATGACTTGGGGTTCTGTCTGTCTGTACTGGTCTTTCTGCTTGGCCTTAGGGTTTTTGTCATGGAACTGGGGACTTTTTAAGTGTCCTGCAGTTCCCCCTTTATCCATGACCAACCATGGTCCAAAAACATTCAATAGAAGTTTCCAGAAATAAACAACTCTTAAGTTTTGTTTCTTTTTAATTTTTTTTTTTTTTTAGTCATCTTCTCACTCTGTCACCTAAGCTAGAGTGCAATGGCACACTAATGGCTCATCACAGCCTCCAACTCCTGGGCTCTAGCAATCCTCCTGCATCAGCCTCCCGAGTAGCTGGGAATACGCCTGGCTAAGTTTTTGATTTTTTTTCTAGAGATGAGGTCTTGCTATGTTGCCCAGGCTGGTCTTGAACTCCTGGCCTCAAATGATCCTCCCGCCTTGGGTTCCCAGAGTGCTGGGATTATAGGTGTGAGCCGTGTCTGGCCTACTTTTTAAATTTTTAAATATAATTCTGCTTCTTCTGTACAGCCTCTAAATTTTAAACTGCGTGCTGTATCGAGTGGTGTGAAGAAATCTCGAGTCTTCATGCTGTCTATCATGCCCACCTGCTAGTCACTTAGTGGCTGTCTCAGTTATCAGATCAGCTGTCATGACATGGCAGTGCTTGTGTGCAAGTCACCCTTATTTGACTTAATAATGGCCCCAAAGCACAAGATCCATGATGCTGGCAAGTCGTTATATCTGTTGTACTTTTTTTTCTGAGTCAGAGTCTCACTCTGTCCCCCAGGCTGGAGGACAGTGGCCACGCTGCTTACGGCCACTGCAGCCCCTACCTGCTGGGTTCAGGCGATCCTTCTGCTTCAGCCTTCCAAGTAGCTGGAATTACAGGCATGCGCCACCATGCCCAGCTAATTTCTTGATTTATTGTAGAGACGAGGTCTCACTATGTTGCCCAGGTAATCCTCTTGCCTCAGCCTCCTAAAGTGCTGGGATTATAGGCATGAGCCACTGCGCCCGGCACCTGTTGTATTTTATCATGAGCCGTTGTTCATCTCTGACGGCACCTAATTTATAAATTAAACTTTATCATAGGTCTGTATGTATAGGAAAAAGCATAATGTCTATAAGGTTTGGTACTATCGGCTGTTCCCATCATCCCCTGGGGGTCTTGGGATGGAGCCCCACAGATAAGGAGGATTACTGTCTAAAGATCGTCTTGGCTGGGTGTTGTGGCTCACGCCTGTGATTCCAGCACTTTGGGAGGCCGAGGTGGGAGGATCACTTGAGTCCAGGAGTTCGAGACCAGCCTGGGCTACAGAAAAATAATAAATAAATAAATAAATAAATAAATAAAAGATGGTCTGGCTCTCCAGGATGCTTATAGGATTGTGTGGAAGGACACGCGGTAAACACACCTGTTTCTCTTTCCTTTTGCGGACCAGGTGGACTTCTGGCGGGCCCCTGCCAGGCCCAGCCTCCCCGTGGACATGAGAGTGCCCTTCTCAGAGCTGACAGATGTCAAAGATTACCTGGAGTCTCATGACTTTGCCTACAGCGTCATGATCAAGGATGTCCAGGTGAGGTCTCATCCTGGCTGGGTGCCCCCTTCCACGTTCCTTCTGGCTGGGACCCAACGTGGAGGAAGAACATTCGGACTGAGAGTGGGCATGTTGTTTGTGGATCTCATCTTTGTGCTGGGGAACATGCGGCGGGAGGAATTAAGCTTCACACTCCGTAGGGGACATTTAAACTGAAGACAGAGTTCATGGCGGGAAGGGGAATGCTCCTAGGAGGGTGGTGGTCAGGACGCCTGTTCTGGGTGGGGGGAGGGGGTTGCAGCTAACTGCAGAGGAGGAGATGGGGAGACGGGGACAGAGCTCGGGTCTTCCCAGGCTCTGAGGGGAGGCGCCTCCAGGTGGCTTTTGAGTCAGGGTCTCCCTCTGTTGCCCGGGCTCGAGTGCAGTGGCATGATCTCATCTCACTGCAGCCTCAACCTCCTGGACCCAAGCCAACCTCCCTCCTCAGCCTCCAGAGTAGCTGGGACTACAGGCAGGCAGGTACTACCATGCCAGGCTAATTTTCTGATTTTTTGTAGAGACAAGGTCTCACTTTGCTGCCCAGGCTGGTCTTGAACTCCTGGGCTTAAGCAACCTTCCTGCCTCAGCCTCCCAAAGTGCTGGGATGACAGACAGGAGCCACCGTGCCCGGCTGAAATCTTCTTTCAATGGTTCTGTCTTCAAAGCCATCCCGGAGAGCGTCTGGAAGGTGCTGGAAGCACAGCCTCCTTCCTAAAGATGCTTTCAGGGACCACTTGCGGTTCAGCATCCCTGGCTGTGGACGCTGCCGCTGACCACGTACCCGTGGAACCGTGTCCCGGAGATCCGTTCCCAGCCCTGTCTGCACACCCATCCCCGCCAAGGGCTCGAGTGTGGGAACGCAGCGTCCCCGGGCACTCACTCTCACCAACGCATGCCAAAGGATCAGCGTTAGGCGACATTCCTTTCCCACGCCAGCCTGGGGGCCTGGGGTCCCTTCAAAGACCTGTATCCCCCTCCGGGCACATGTTTCCCACCCCATATGTTGGGGGGGATATTTCTCTAATTAAATCCCCTCCCCAGCAAAACCGGGGACGCTCCTACAGATAAAAGAGGCGGCCACATCAAAAGGAGCCGATCTCGGTCCTACTCCTGGGCCCAGGCATGGATTCCGAAGTCCGCCTAGCCCTGCTCCTTCCCAGCCCCGGGCATTTGGGAAACAGATACCAGAGGGCTCTAGGGACTTTCTGCTGGTTTCCCAGAGGTGGCTGTGAGCCCCTCCAGGACTCCCCGGGCGTGGGTCGTCTGCATTCTCCTCTCCTGACATCCAGCTCCAAGTCCCTCTGGGGATTGTGCTTGGGAAAAGGCCCTGAATGCTCAACACTGTCCTGGTCAGGCAGGATTATCACCTGCCACCATCCCTGAGGTCACACTGGCATAGAGGGAGCCGGTGGGGAGGCCATTGTGTCAGTTGATTGTGATGGGGAGGAGGGTGAGAGCTCCCAAGAGCAGGATCCATGGCCTTGGCGCCCCTCTGGTGGTTGGTCTCCAGTCTCGCATCTCAGATGTGGACACGTGGTCCTGATCCTCCTCCATCCTCGGGATCTGCTCAGCTCCCGCACTGGGCAACCCAACTCTTGCAGGGCGGGCCCTCCTTGTTGTCTGCTGGATGGCTGGTGCTCTGGGGGGTCAGGACATACATGTTCTGAGGGGGGCCATGTTCAGAGCTGTGTTGGCCTCCTGGCTATTTCCCCTTGCCCACAAGGTCCAGCCCACCCCTGTGTCCCTCTGCCAGAGGGCCTGCCATAT